GGAGACTGAGAAGAGTGGAACGCCCCGCTCCGCCGAGCACCTTGGCAAGGAGACTGAGAAGAGTCCATCCTTCCTCCCGCGGTCCGCCGAGCACCTTGGCAAGGAGACTGAGAAGAGTGGAGGGTTTTGGTTTCCATGAGATGGCGTGATGATGATTCACGCCAACAGGGCGACCTGCATGCTTCGCCACCAGGGCGACTTGCAAAACGGTACTTGCTTCGCCACCAGGAGGGCGACCTGCAAAACAGTGCTCTTAGCAGATGCTTTTATGATTGACAAGGTGTCTAGGTAGCAAGGTTTCAGGGTGTCAAGTAGGAATAGGACATTGCTTCAATAGAGCGTTCATGCCAGTGAGCCTGCGACAAGCTTGACATTCAGTACGTGCGTGCCTCACCAGAAGACGGTGAGGCTGGCCAGGTCTTGTTTTGCGTTTGGGAAGAGTTGTTTGCAAATCTTTGAGGGAGTCAAGAGTCTTCTACGTGCGAGGGCTCCTGGGTTCCTTGTGTTGCTACATTGGCCCAGTCCGGTTATTTTCATTGTCGAATTTGACCTTCAGTAGCTTTCTGTGTCACTTTTCAGCATTGTTATGTGATCATCCCGTAGTTATTTGTGCCAGTTTTTCTCAAGACACTCAGGACGCCTTTTCAGCTCAGGGTGTCAGCGCTGCCATGGCGCTCAAATCCAGTGTGTTCGCTTGCCTCAACCTTGCATTGTGCGTGAGCTGCAACAACATCATCATCGGCCGGTCCGCCGAGCCCCGTGGCAAGGAGACTGAGAAGAGTAAGGTTCCCTTTTGGCCCCGGTCTGCCGAGCACCTTGGCAAGGAGACTGAGCAGAGTCCATCGTTCCTCCCGCGGTCCGCGGAGCACCTTGGCAAGGAGCCATCGTTCCTCCCGCGGTCCGCCGAGCACCTTGGCAAGGAGACTGAGAAGAGTCCATCGTTCCTCCCGCGCTCCGCCGAGCACCTTGGCAAGGAGACTGAGAAGAGTGGAACGCCCCGCTCCGCCGAGCACCTTGGCAAGGAGACTGAGAAGAGTCCATCCTTCCTCCCGCGGTCCGCCGAGCACCTTGGCAAGGAGACTGAGAAGAGTGGAGGGTTTTGGTTTCCATGAGATGGCGTGATGATGATTCACGCCAACAGGGCGACCTGCATGCTTCGCCACCAGGGCGACTTGCAAAACGGTACTTGCTTCGCCACCAGGAGGGCGACCTGCAAAACA